ATGCGTACTCCATAAGACAAAGTATTGTTGTAACATGCTTATCATGCTTTTAATTTATCAGAGATTTAATTCTTTAGGTGCATTTATCATTGGCGGGTAAGGACCACATGAGAGTAACATACATAACGGACGACATGAACGTGGCATCGATGGTGGAGTACGGTAAACACCCAAAAAGGTACGACGTAAAAGCAACCGGAGAATCCATCACTTACAGATTCTTATTCTACAGCTCCGGCAAGATCCACCATGTCAAGATTGGTCCTCTTCAGCCAAGCACCACTTACTATTACCGTTGCGGTGGCCATGGTAAAGAGTTTTCTTTCAGAACTCCTCCGTCCACTTTTCCGGTCGAGTTTGCCGTTGCTGGTAAGTAGCCCCTTCATTAACTCTCTTTCTTCATTTCTCGCATGTTCATGTCATTTATTTCTAATGGAAGTTCCTATAAGTTCAGAATACAGAGAGAGATGGTAACTTTACATTTAAAACATGTTTTGACAAAAATGGATTCAGCTGCAAAAGTTCTTTGATGAAACAAACGTTTAAAATTGAATATATAACTCGAAACCTATCGATAAAGTTGGTTTTAGTCATGTCACTAGCTGGGAAAAGGGTATATTTCAACATGAACTTTACCAGCCGTGCATATTCCTTCCCGAATTTTGTAGTAGTGCATATTTCATATTGAACTATATAAAAACTTAAAAAATACTACCTTAACTTTACTCATCGTGCCTTTTCATTCCTAAACTTTATAGTAGTGCATATTCCACACTAAACTAAATAAAAATATAAAAATACTACATAAATTCTCAAAATTGTGCTTATATATATAAACCATCAAATTTGTTAGTCATCCATTAATTTATCAAAACGATGTCAGTTTCGATAAGTTTTCTAAAATAGAAATTTAAAAATTCTACATAAACTTGCAAAATCGTGCTTAGATATATATTAACCATCAAAGATGTTACACATCCGATAATTTATCAAAACGATGCCATTTTTTATAAACTCTGTAAATTAGTTTAAAAATCCAACACATACTCTTAAAATTTTGCTTATATATATTGATCATCAAGATATTAGTCATCTGTTAATTTATCAAAACAACGTCATTTAAGATAAATTCTATAAAACTAAAAAATTATGGGATGTTCGAATTTTTACACTAATGGACAAGTATAAAATGAATATTTACCTTAATAATAATATTTTACAAAATGATTATTTGTAAATTTAAATTTTAAAAATAAATAATTATAGATTGATTTGATAAATTACTAAAAAAATAAAAAAATTGATAACATTTATTTGATTAAAAATGTTTACATAATTTGTACAAGAAAATTACTTTAGTCTAGCAATTATTATGCTCTTACTTGTCCACCAGTGTGAAAGTTTGAACCTCCCAAAAAAGTATTTTTAATTTTATAGAATTTATCCAAAATGATGTTGTTTTCATAAATTAACTGATGAGTAATATCTTTTATGATTAATATATATATAAGCATGATTTTGCAAGTTTGTGTAGTATTTTTAATTTTATAAAATTGATCTAAAATGATATTATTTTGATAAACTAACGGATGACTGACAAATTTGATGGATTATATATAAGTACAATTTTGAGATTTCGTGTTATATTTTTATACTTTTTTTTAGTTCAGCGTGAAATAGGCACTACTGTAAAGTTTAAGAAGGAAAATGCACAATTTGTAAAGTTCATATAGTATTTTTAAATTTTTGTCTAGTTCAGTATGAAATTCGCACTATAACAAAGTTTGAGAAAAAATAAACACGACTGATAAAGTTCAGGTTGAAATAGGCCATTTTCCCGCTCGATAACTTAGTCCGGTTGTTAAATTTTAGTTATTTTTTAATAAATAAAAATAGGATTAGATATACTAGATTTACGGTCGGTAGCCACATATTGGTCCATATAGTCCTAAAATTAGACAACCAAATTTGAAGTAGAACATATAGACATTTGCCCATCGGGAAATTTCCATGTATTTGAAACTTTATGCTTATTAAAAGATATTAAAACTGGACTATATATGTTTATGCGATAACACGTAAACCGTGCAGGAAGTTACTTGTATTCCACTTTTTATACAAGTCCACAACTTTCCCGTGGGAGTTTGAAGTATACGCCAAAATCCCAAGTTTTTTTTTCTTTTTTTCTTTTCCAAGCTTTAAAGATATTAATGACTTATCTTTTGCTTTTGGTCGCCGGTTTTCAATATTTTTAGGGCTTTCGATATGGATTATATGTGCATGAACTGCCTTTGGTTCCAAAATTTAGTATTGTGGTTGAGATTTGTTTCCAACGATCATATACTCAATGATTTACATAGTTATGATTCCTAATGCATGGCTGCCTCATATAATAATTGCATCTTATAATCAAAGATTTACATAATTTATTAATTATTAAATTAGTTTAGTTTACTCAGACGTATACAAACAATTTTATATCAAGTATTAACAAAAAAGTCATTTGCATATCAATTATCAAACATATTAAGAACTATTGATCTCATTTGAATTATGTATCATATCAATTAATTTAATTGATTTTTTTCTCAACATCATGCATTATGTGGACTTGAAAACAAGTGGTTACGTAACACAAATTAACCGCAACCTCACATAATTGATCTCATTTGAATTATGGATAATACAATTTCAACTCAATGAAATACTCCATTAATGATAGCTTGGATAGAGACTGATCTATTTCCACATCTTTATATTTATATATGCTTGATTTTTGTTCATGCATGTTACGAACCGGGTTTCTAGTGTACTAACGTAAGACCAGTTTTTGTTCTGAAATTGAAGGTGACCTTGGGCAAACTGATTGGACGGTGAAAACATTAGATCAAATTTCAAAACAGGATTTCGATGTCTTCCTACTTCCCGGTGACCTCTCCTACGCAGACAACCACCAGCCACTGTGGGACTCTTTTGGCCGTCTCTTGGAGAACCTGGCTAGTACCCGCCCGTGGATGGTCACCGAGGGAAACCACGAGATCGAGTCTGCCCGGATCATTGAAGAACACATAAGCTTTAAAGCATACAATGCCCGATGGCTTATGCCTCACGCTGAAAGCCTCTCTCACTCCAACCTTTACTACTCTTTTGATGCAGCTGGTGTCCACATTGTTATGATTGGTTCTTACACCCACTATGACTCCCACTCTGATCAGTACCGGTGGCTCCGTGAGGATTTAAGAAAGGTAAATTGTAAATTATTATATTACTTGGAAAATACATGTTTCATTTATATGGGTCTAATTAAGTTCGCAGTATTTGTTTTACATTTCAAAAAGTCAATGCAAAACTCATATAACTGCTACATATTCGGGGAATTGGTTTGAGTTTTCCAGATAAAATCTCCATGAAAATAAATATTTCAACTATTTCTTTAGTTCTTGAAATTAGATTATTATTTTTGTGTGAGGGAGATTGACCGTAAAAGAACGCCGTGGCTGGTGGTGGTGATGCACACGCCATGGTACAGCACAAACAAGGCGCATGAAGGTGAAGGAGAGAAAATGAGAAAGGCCATGGAGGGTTTGTTTTATCGTGCTCATGTCGACGTTGTTTTCGCCGGCCACATTCATACCTACGAACGTTTCGTGAGTACTATCTTTGTTAACCTTTTTTCAACTAAAAGAACAATTCTAATTGGTAGTCCTCTGAAAGACGTGATACATCAAAATTTGAGAATATTACATAATTCTACAAACTTGACGGCTAAAATCAAATGCATTTTGTCAATTGTCATTCCACATGATGTGATTAAAACATGTTTACGTAATGATTTTTTTTTGTTACTTGAATTTTTTTTTTTTGTCAAACACTTGAAATGATTATTTACTTAGTTATGTACATTTAAGGACTATTTTTAACAAGATTTTTTTTACTCTATTTCCAAATTATGACTGATGCAAGAGGCCGGTATACAACCACAAGGCCGATCCATGTGGACCAATTTACATAACCATTGGTGACGGTGGCAATCGAGAAGGCCTGGCTTATAAGTAAGTCATGTCCCATTATTCATCTGACATATATATTTTTTTCGCCCAGTTCAATGGTTTGGTTAAAAGTGAACTGCATAAACCACAACTTTGCAGGTTTCACAACCCTCGTTCACCGTTGTCGGCATTCCGTGAATCGAGTTTTGGACATGGGAGATTGAAGATTATAGACAAGAAGCGAGCACATTGGTCGTGGCATAGAAACAACGACAACTTCTCAGTTATTGCGGATGAAGTATGGTTTGAAAGCCCTAAGTCATCACCACATTGTATTTTTAATCATTTTAGAGGCGAACTCTAAATCCCATTACCATAAAACATCATACAATACTCTTCTCTTCTTTGTTTAACTTCGTCCTTGGTAAAATAATCTCAATCTTCGGTTAGCTCACAGGTCATAAATAGGATTCTATAGATCCTCCCGAATTTGATTTTTGAGCTCTTAGAAGTTTACAAGTTTGTGACCAACCATTGCTACAAATACGTCATGGCTCCATATATAATTTTATATATAACAGGAGATATTATAAATCTTTTCAACATTTTTATAAGATTAAGTGATACATGTCAATATTTTTATAGCGTTTCACGATAATTAATTATCAAGCAATGAAGAACTCCCTTCATCCTTTTTTATATATTTTTTTGATAAGTCATCCTTTTTTATATCAGGTTTGAATGATTATAAGTTATACATTTTGTATGATCGTTAAAAATGTATATTTGAGAATTTGATTGTCCATTTGTATATTAAGAACATTAAGGCTAGTGACAACATTCTTATCTACCTAATGCTCAACTGAGGTGGAATCATATAAGCGTTGTTTAAGACATACCACATCCATATAGCACTAGTGTAAGCACCTATAATCATTAGGCTTTGTTTAAGAGCATTACTTTTTAGTTCAAAGATTAAAAATAATAATTAAAATTAAATATTATTTTCGTCTAAATAATTTTCTACACGCAAAAGCCACACAATTTGCCGGAGAGAAAAGCCAACGCGAATAATCTTATTTCTTTATGGGGAAAAGAAAATTAATTGGGAAGATGAGGAAAGCGTCACGCGACACGTGTCCCATTGTAATACATATCTTTTACATAATGACAAATGATCAAACGGCTGAGATCAATCTAACACCATTTCTCGGGGACAGACGCGTTCAAACGAAGATCGAAAAGTCAACGTATCGAACGACTCCGATCAAATCTTCTGAAGCTTCGCCGCTTTGACCAACGGGTTCGCCTTCGCGATCTCTTCGCGACCGGCCGATTTGAAATCAAAGGTGCATCCATGGACCTCCGGGTACCTGTGGGCCCCGCAAAAAGTCGTCCCGCAGCGGCACTTGAACCCGGTCAACCCGACCCGTTTCCTGCAAGTTGAGCAACGATTCGGCCGTTTCTGCTGCTGCACCACCGTCTTCTCCGGCGGCGGAGTCACCGTCACCGTCACGTTTTTCGCTGTTACATCCAATTCCGCCGATGGGTTCTGAACGAGAGGTGAGATCATCGAGGAAGAAACAGAAGCCATCTCTGACGACGGAGGAGATACGGCGGAGAGAGAGGATTCGACGGTGGATTTCATGGAAGCTTGTTGCTTAAGGCAGAGATCGCCGTAGCAGTTAGAGCAGAGATTCATGGTGGCGGAGCTGCCGAGGAAGCCGCAGTTGTTAGCACAGAGACCGTGGCCTTCCGGCGTCTGACATCGATGCTCTTCCGCCATAGAGAAAGTTCGAGGCTTTAAATCGAAAATCTGGATCAATAAAAAAAGACAATTAATTAAATAAACGAAATGGCAGAATTTAAAAGAAAGAACAAGACACGAACCAGAATCTGGTCACCGAGAGAAACAAGAAGGAAAAAGAAAAGAAGATCGGTAATAAAAGCGAAGAAAAGTTTCCTCCGCTTTCTCGGCAACCAAACAGAGATGAAAAAGAAAGAATGAGATGGGAAGTTAATTAAAAAAGTTAGAAGACAGAGAAGAGAGGAGACAAATAAGGAGCGGAGGACAGAGGTTGTGTTTACCTGTTCTTGAGATAAGAAGAAGAAGAGAGATGTTCCACTGAATTTTTTTTCTTTACCAATTAACGATGAAATCGGGAACAGAGATGAAAGAGAAAGTAGATGGAAACAGAGACGACGATGCTGAAAAATCGAATATATATACACGTAATCCTGTCCACCATGCCACGATCAATTCTTATACTAGTTATTAAATGTCGTCATGGTGATGTCACTAGTTTGATATCTATATGAGTTTATATCACTCTAGGACAGTTTCTACTTTTTTATATCACAAAAAGGCAGATTCTGCTCCTAAGGTAGTTAATGTTAAGTGTGTCCACTTTATTCCCTAATTCTCAACGATCTAGTTAGACAAATGGTAAGTACACATTTCGTTTAAGCGGGAATGAACCTCCACCCCTCATTTATTTTTCATCCAACGTTCCACA